TAACCTACAACCTTGGATGTCAATTTCAATTTCTATATGAGCCGTTTGTCTCTAGGATGATCTATTTTATATGAGCCATTTGTCTCGAGGATGAAGACTTTTGCTGAAAGGAAATGGCCAATACACAGAATTTGGTGAAGTAGGCCTTCTAACAGATCTCAGTTACAGAAGACATGCTTATTTTGCTCTGAGACTGTCAGTTGATCCTAAGGCTTAACTGAAGGAAGACTATTTCCTGAATATTATGATAGTTCTGAGGACTATCTGTCTTAATTAAAAGTACAATACAAGATCTCAGAGAAAGCTCTGAACTTTAAATAAACTCATCTAATTGAATATATAAGCCTTTGGGAGGCCTACCCTGGTCTGTAGGAAGTACAGCACTCATGGACTGAAGCTGGTATAAGGGGCAGAATGAGGTTGTCCTTTATGACTGTGCTGGGTTGGACTAAGGTTGTCCTCTATGACCATGTAGACATAGAATAAGGTTGATGCCTCGAAGAATCATTTAATGTTGGAAGTTGTATAAAAAACTTGTTTTTAACATGCGTAGAACATTAGACAATACATACACTTGACCTTTCTGCATGGACACTTTTTTATGTCATAATAAAAACAGACTAGCAGAACTCAAAGCTATGTTCACTGGTTGAACCCGGTAGTTAAAACTATAGGCTTTGAACCAGCCAATAGAATAAGTTGCATCTGTTTTGGGACCCTTGAAAGCTATAGTTACTTTATTCAAATACTCATTTTAAATCTGGGCCAAGATGGAAGATTGGTCTTGCAATAGCAGATCCCCTCGGATAGAGACATCCCAAAAGCCAATGCTAGATTAATCACTTCTGAGAGCCATAGCCTCTTCAGCCGGAAGTACAAAAACAGAACAGCAGCAACACCTTATTTTTGATACAGTCCTGGGAAGTAGTGATGCGTGCAGAAAGACCTATAGCATGGACCTTGATTAGTTTTGCACAAGGACTTCATATCCTGGGTCAAGACTGCAGGGCACTTTATTTACTGTTTCCAGATGCAAATAGGTCAATCATCAGCCCAACAAACTGGCTCATGATGATTAAGATATTTCTGGGTGCAGCCACAACTCTGCTAAGTTGACTTCTGCCCTGCATCTTGGGGTTTCATCTCCTCAGTGAGCAGTGCACATAGATAAAAGAAACACTGCTCTGCCCAGCACAGGAGAATTCCTCTTAGACATGGGGCTGATCATGCTATTCATAGTTATTATGAAAACTAACAGACATGTTGACTGTCATAACAAGAACAGGTCTGTCGTCCATTGAATACGCCCTACTCTGAAACCTCAATGAATCATCGTATTTCACCTCATTTCCATTCCCTGACCTGAATCAGGAAAAACCCTTTCAAAAATTGATTTGCTGTATTCACCGTTTGTGAAAGGTGAGAAAGTACAAATGGAGCTAGAACTCTGAAAATTAATGAGACTGGTAAAATGCTGAGGGGATTCCAATATAGTAATTCTGAGTAGTATATGAATTGTGCATCACTTAAGCATACCTGTGTATTAGATCACAATTCCTAATAGGCTTCAATAAGAATTGAATTTTTGTTTGACACACCACTTTTTTTCCATTAGGACCACCATCTTCATCTGTTAATGTTCCTCTGACATGCCACCTTGTATTTTTTATATCATTCATCTTAGCTCAGGGCTATGACTGACTCTCCTGGCATTGTGTGTCTGCATTTGTCCTGAAATCACGGTATACCAGGAAGCCTCTGTATGTGTGCTTCAGGTTATTCCTCAACACTCTATACTATAGTCACTTCTGTAAGGAGGAGGTAGAGCTGAGGACTGGCATGGGCAACTTGCTATGACAGCTGAGATCAAAAGAGCAATTACTTTCCCAATCTTTCAGGCATGGCAGGAAAATCCTATCTTTCTTTTACACCTTATTAGGATGCAGGAGAACAAATATATAGCTCCAGCTTGAATAGGCAAGTGCAGACCTCTTAAGTCTAATTTCACTATACTGTTAAGAGCACCTCTTAAGAGTACTTTCTTGACTGATGTTTTTTTAAAATATGTGTTTTGCTACTTGATTTTTAAACTCTGATTCAAACTGCTGGCCTTCTTCCTCTAAGGAAGAATTCCCTTCATAGGTGTATATGTATGCATACTTCAAGGAATAAGAACTTAGCTAACTCTTTTATCTGTGACCTGAAAAAACATCAAATCATCACTGATAAAGTTTATAGCTGACACAAAAATTGGAGGAATATAATGGAGAAGTAACTGATTCAAAGCAATCTAGATGGCTTGGTAAACTGGGTGCAAGCAAACCATATGGATTTTAATATAATTAAATGTAAATGTACATATCTAGGAAGAAAGAATAAAGGCCACCGCTACAGAATGAGGGACTAACATGGAAAATGGTGATTCCTTAAAAAAATAAAATAAAAAAACGATTTGGGGGTCATGGTGGGTAAGTCAACTGAATAGGAATTGCTCGTACTACGTAGTTGTTAGGAGGACTAATATGATCCTTCGATGCATGAACAGGAAATCGAGAAGGAGCAGAGAAGTTATTTTAGCTCTACATTTGGTACTGATACCACTGCTGCGGGAATACAGCATTGAGTTGTGGTATCTACACTTCCAGAAGGATGTTGATAAACTGGAGAGAGTTCAGATGAGAGCAATGGGAATAATTAAAGGATTAGAAGACATGCCTTATACTGGCAGTCAAGGAGCTCAATCTATATAGCTTAACAAAAAGAATATTAAATGGTGACTATTATAAAGTTCCTCCATTGTCAGCAAATATTTAATAATGGGATCTTCAATCTAGCAGAGAAAAGTTTACCATGATAATGGCTGGAAGTTAAAGCCAGACAAAATCAGAATGGAAATAAGGTGTAAATTTGTAACAGTGAATAATCAATCAGTCATTGGAACACTTCACAAAAGGGTTGTGATGGTTTTACCATCACTGAATTTTAAATGCTCTAGGAATTATTTTGGTTAAGTTCTATGGTTTACATTTCACAGGAAGTAAGACTAGATAATGACAACAGTCCCTTCTGGCCTTGATATCTATGAAGCAATGGCCTGCTCTTTTCTGCACTGATCTGGCATGCTGCACTCTGTAACTGTGAGCACAGGAACTCAATACTGATGATTAAATGCCTATGATGCACTTCATAAAGGTTTACAGGAGAATCAAACAGGATAGGCTGCCTTGTGAAGGAGAGTACAGGAAACAGCATAGGTTATTCCCTTTTGCCCCTTTGTGAATTTGCCCCCTGAAAGCTACTTCAGAAGGGGGAGTGAAACCTTAGTCAGGGATTGCATTGAAAATAATTAACATGGCTAGTGATTTCCCTGTCCTAGAAAATATTGGGTTTGTTCTTCTTCTGGGTTTCTCAAGAGAGGTATTGCCTTGGAGCTCAAGGATGGAGTGAGTAGGGGTGGGGAGTTGGAGAAGGGATGGGACAGGTAGTGGGGGCAAGAATTTTTGGTTTGCACAATGAGACAATCATTCTCTCCAGGGGCGTAGCGAAGGGGGGGGGGGGGGGGGGTCAA